GGCTTTTTGCCATTGATGTAATTGTTGCTATGGAGGTAGCGTAAGATGTAATCCAAAGTTTCTTCTTCCACATTGCAGTGAGGGCATAAGTTGTCTAGGTATAGTGTGGAGTACCTTCTATGGAGTTTTATTCTTGTAGGAAGCTGATCAGCTATAAGTTTAGTTCAGAATGTTGACAGTGCTCTGAATCTGTTTTGGTTCAATTTTTTCAGTTTTTTGTTGACCTTAATTATTATATTGAATTGTTTCTTAGATTTAAATTTATAGATAGTTGATTAACTCAAGGTTAAGTCAAAAGTGTTTGTGAAGTGATTAATAAATTTAATTCAATGGGTGATACTGGTTGCATTGGAGTTGTTAATTAGAGGCGAAGTTGTGAAAGATTTGGGGGACAAAAGTGGTAAGGGTGTAATTACTGTATTGGCATTTATGTTTTTGTTGTCTGTTTTAATTTTCTGCCAGGTAAATGTTAAATTTTTGCTAGATTTTTTCTTATTAATTGAGCTGATATGTCTGGAGAAAAGCACTTTAACTTGCCTATTGGCATATTCAGAAATTTCTAGGTCTGATATACTGGAAACTTTGCAGGTGATGTGAGAGTTTGGTGCTATATTCTGAATTAGTTGAGATAGGATGGGCCAAAAATTTGTTCAGATGTTTGAGTTATTTGTGTATGTTTGGAGATGGATATCTGTTTTTGTTTCTATTATGTTATAATATACAGTTATCATCATATTGCTAGGAAGATGAGATCTGCTTGTTGGGAAGTGAATGATTAGTTTGGGTTGGTGTGATATAATTGGTGAGAGAATATAAGTAAGTTCATTGATATTATTGAGGAGCTCGTATTGATTGTTATTGGAATAGGACTAGACTGAACATAGTTAACTCAAAGACTTGTTCTTTATACAAGGTTGGATTGGGCAGGAGCAGCTTATAATTTATTTGTTAAGAGTATCTAAGCAATAATGCTTGCCACTCATAAGTGGACATATAATGGCGTTAACTCTAACTTTGATAAAATATATTGAGTTATTCTTGAGATATGCCTAGAATCTTGGTTGGAGATTGGGAAGGGGCGGTATGTTTCCTTTGATGGGGGCACAGTGTTGGTAAGGTTGGTGAACTACTTGGGAATTGGACCTTTAGTGATGTAACCTTTGTGGGTGTGAAGTTTCTTTCATATTAGCTTTATTGGACTGTTATAAGCTAATAAATTATACAATGTCTTGATATTTGCATAGTGTAGTGAAAGGACAGTTTTTTTGTTGAGATTGGTAATTAAGCTGATAAATAAGTTGTGATTTTCTATTGCAAAAGGGCATGGGTTTGGACATATGTCGATTTTGTATTTTTTTGTAATTTTTGCTGTGTGGGTCAGCCATGAGACTCTGAATAGTTGAGGGAGCATATAGGGCAAGACCAGATAGCTTGTGAAATTTGTATTGATCGAACTTCTTGGAAAGTTGATTGTGAGGTTGTAGAGTTAATTAGTTATGCTACCAGTAGTTTAATTGCAGTTGTGTCTCTTCTGTTCTGGAGTTTGGCTATTTCGATGCTTGCTTTTGAGTAAAGTATTTTGTTGGAAATAGTTCTCTCTATACCCAATTTTGATTTAACTGCTTTGTTGAACTTTGATTTTGTAATTAATATTTTTATCTTTATTTTATTATATTTATAAAGATAAAATTTTGTAAATACTCATGATATATGATAAATATAAGAGCAAATATAAATAATATAACTATAAATGTATAACTATACTATAAGAAAAATATTCAATGCTCTCTTAATTTTTCTTAAAACAATTTTAAAGAGTAATCTAATTATAAAACCATTATTATACTCTAATCTAGTTATAGATTTTAAATACTTCAATGTAGTTAATGAATTTTTTCTCCTACTAAGGTTTTCTAATAAAAGAATTATTAAAATTACTAATGTTATTTGACATCCCACTGGTATAATTTTTGCTTATTATTAATTTAAATATAGGAATAATGGAGATAAAGTCTTACCTTCCAACTATCTCTAAAAGTTTCATTGATAAAGTTGACTTTTTTATATTGCATATTTATTAACAAAGATTTGTATTTGTAATAGAAATCAAGATCATTGATTGTTTTATCAAACCTAACTTTGAATAGTCCTTCAAGTATAAAGAAGGTAGGTTTTAAATAAGTCTTAAAACCTTAAATAATTAGTTCAAAACCATTGTTAATAAGAGTATAATTGTGAATATCAATCTTCCATTCTTTAGATAAATGAATCTGATATTCATCAGATTTATTTTCTACTTGTTTTATTAATTCAAATACTATTTGTTATTGAGCTTATTGCAATTAGTCTTAAATATTTTTCTATAAGACTTTCAAGTCATTACTTCATAGAACTGATCTTAGTTTTTTGATAAGTTGCCTTATATTTTTTTCTTTGCTTGACAAGTTTATCAACTTCTATAATATCTGATTTATAATATCTATTGAAATGTTTTTTTTGTGAAATGTAACTGATAAAGTCTTTATTATACTCAGAACATTTATATATCTTGGGAGACAAAAGTTGTTTAGGCAAAGGTTGTTTATCTTTTGGTTTAACCTGTTTCTTATTTTCTTTATGTTTTTCTTTTTTTGGATAATGTTTTTTCTTTTTTTTAAAGAAGCCTGGGTCAAGTGGAGAAAAGAAGACTTGTTATTTAGAGTTATTAAAGTAAACAGAAGAAGTCATAACTATCTATTTAGCAAAAAGCTTCTTTACTTGATCCAGTTGTTTTGCAGATCCAGAGTACTTAAACATAACATTATAGGAAATACTTATCTCTATAAAGAAGTTTACCATATTGTGTTTGATTTTTGAAAGTATTATCTCTTATTGGTTACTTTTTTCTTTGAAAAAATTTTCTTATAAGGAAATTTTTAAGAAAAAAAAAGGTTATGGGAAAGAGTTTTTTTATCTTATTTGTGATAATTATATATTATTATATAAATAATATTAAATAATTTATAAATATAAATAATTTTTTTCTTAAGTTTTATAAATTTTTGTTAAATAATATAAAAATGGTTACTGAATTTTTAATAAATGATCAATGAATCATTAATAAATAATTTTGATAAATCATTGCAAATTTTTTAATAAATTTTTAATAAATAGTTTTAATGAATAGTTATTAAATTTTTAATAAATAATTTTAATGAATAGTTAATAAATTCTTAATAAATTTTTAATAAATTTTTAATGAATAATTGATAAATTAATATTGAATTTTTATTGAATTATCAATAAATAATTTTATGATGAACCTTTATTGAATTGGTAATAAATTTTTACTAAATAATAAATAAATTATTTGATGAATTATTAATGAATTTTTTGATAATTTATTTTGATTGTCAAATATTAGATTGCTAAATTTTTGATTGACATTTTATTGCTAAACTAGTAATATATCAAGTGGTAGCAATTAAAAAGAATTTAATAATATTTTTATTAATAAATTTAATCAAATTTGAAAATAATTCAATTATGGAATGACATAATTTTGATTAGTGAACAACTAATTTTACTTTTAATTTATAATTAATATTTAGATTTTTCTATAATTATAATAATAAAAGGTTTAAATAACAGAAATAAATTTATTAATTAATAAATACTTGTTAAAATCTATTGAAAAAAATAAAGAATTATATAATAGAAATCAATTTCATATCAATAAAATACAAGTTAAATATTTATTAAATTTATTTATTATCTGAAAATTTGAAATTAGACAATTATAATATTTGTTTCAAAACAAGATTTTAGAAAGAATATTTTAAAATAATAATTTTAGAAAACTTTAATATAGTTATTGATTCAATAATTGATTGTTTGTTTCTTAATAGAAAAAAATTCAAGATGCAGAAAAGTTAAAATAGAATTTTTTAACTTTCAAAAAACTAGAACTATAAAAGTATAAATACAATTAAAAAATATAATAAAAAATTTTCAAATAAAAAAATTTTTATACAATATACTGTATATAGCATGCAGTATATATACTGTATATTGTATATGATATATATAGTATATTTCCTATTAATATACTGTATTTGATTATCATAGATATATAAACAATAGTTGAAATTAAACTATATATAGTATATATTTTATCGATATAAACCTGGTAATAAAACAAGTTAATTTGATGATCCATTTCATTTACAAATAATGTCCTTTGATTTACAAGTAATGATATTAACTTTTAAAAAATTATTGTTGAAATAGTAACAGTTTTTTTTTTTTTTAATACAAATTTTATGATACCAAGAAATTATCCGCTCATTATATACAAGAATATATAAGAAACTAGAAATATTTCATCACTTTTGTATGTATAATTAATATCATATAACCTACACATCGTACTATCCGAGTTGACGGGAATGGACGCGTACTTTCAGTTAAAAGGTACACTTGAGTCCTAATGAGAATTTCTCAAGTATCATCTGCTTATTTAAAACATAAATATTTGTTCGTTTATTATTGCAGGTGTTTTAGATAAAAGGTTTCATGAAAAAAGTCTGCGTAGTTTTTATTTACCATCAACTGGACCTTTTCTGATTACGTACCAGCAAATCAACGTATCAACCAATTTGCATTACGTATTATAGATGTTTTTATTTAAGCCAATAAATTAATGCGGCCGGTTAAACTAATCAACTTTTCAAATTTCCTGTTTTCCTTGCGAAATATCGCACCCTTCTTGTTACCCACGTCTCCACTTAGTTTCAAATGCAAGCTTCATGCCTATTTCCTGTCTGCTAATGGTTTCTAATCTCTGACTCGGTGGCTCTACCATATTAAAACACCGATTATCAAGTAAACTTTATAATTGAACTACACGCTATTTCTTTTATGATTTTGCAAAATCTAATTTCCGCAAAACAAATCCACGTGTAAACATCACGTGTTTCCAAAAATCCTTGGTCATTTCACCAAACGCGTCAAACGTTTCTTCAAATATCCTTATTGATAATAAATTCGTAGTCAAGGTCAATTTCGTATTCTTTAGTCGCCTTATCCCGCAAGTTCTTGTATAGCTTCTTATTCCCACTCAGTCGAACATTCTTTAAATGTTCACCCTGGTGATCCAGTAACACCTTCAAGTGTTGATTTCCGAAGCAAAGAGATCTCTCGATTACAAAATTTAGCAACTTGACCTTTGAGTCCTTGAAAAAGGTTTCCAAAGATTCAACTGAAAAATAAAAATACCCGTGTAGCTCGAGATGGTAAAGGTCTTTCCAATGAGGATGTTTCACCTGAAGGAAGAAATCATCGATCACAGTCTCCGTGACTGTATCGGCGGCTTCTCCTCTGGCACGAAAAACTTTATTCTTTATCACGATCTTCTTGAGAAATTTGCAAAACGAGAAAAATTGGTTAAATGGGTTGAAGTCGTGAATAAACTCGTCGCAGGTGAAATGAGTGATATTTTTAAAGTTAGAAGCCATGTATCGGAGAATTAATCTATGTTCAGTGGCAGGGATATGGATGAAGGTGAAGTATCGCAATGATGTGATGATATTTTCTTCTGGTAAACTATCCGATGAATCAAGGTTCTGTAAATTATTATATGATGGTGATGATGTGATAGTTTCCGCGGGTGATAGGGAAGCTTCGGGTTCCGGAGAAGGTAAGAAAACTTGCAAGGGATAACTGGAATTCAACTCCAATGAAAGGAGGCAAGGAAATTCCAATAGATTGAGTGAACTATTTTCGTTCCAGAATTCGCAATCGATGAATGATAATTCTCGTAAATTTACCAATTGATTGATCGATGAAAAGAACTGGAATTCTCTGATAGTTGCTTTCTTAAACGTAAGTTTAGTCAGGGAACTAGCAACGGTGGTCAATGAATCCATAAGGAAGGTATTATTAATGTGGAATCGATATAACTCGAGATCATGCAAGGATTTTTGAGACTTAATGAAATCTGCCATTGCCTTGGCTTTTGTCGAATGCTGATGAAAAACTATTGGCTTCGGGTCAGTTGACCAATCAACCTTCAGTATTTGGAGACTGTTTGATATCCTTGAAACTTCTCTTAGCATAGTAGCCAATTGGTTGTTGGCTTTACAATTGAGACCAACAAGGTGCGATAAACATTCTTCAGCACCGGGATAACAAACAATTTTATACGATGACGAGGGAGAGGGATCAAAGAATGGCCCTTGAGTTTTGAAAAATGAAGTAAACGACAGATACCATAATTTGGTACATTGAGCCATTAATAACTTGCTCGTTCGCGCGTATATTTCGTCTCGGATGCTAGGAGTGATTATGCTGCTACCGTGAGAAATGAAACGTCCCAACAATGCGCTAACCATTTTTCGATTCCGTTCCAAATCGACTTTGTTTAGTTGATAAGTGTGATGGAGCCATCCAATTATTGCCAGTCTCATTAAATCAACATCAAGTTCGCGAATATAGGAAATGTAGTTGCAAAGTGGGGGAGAGACTGAAGCTCCCCTAAAATCCGTTTCAATCTGCTTCGCATTGTAGATAAGTGAGGTGAAGAATGTTTCCATCAACGTGAATATCCTCGGAAGAGATTGGTGTGTGAAAGAAGAGTTGTCAAATGAGACCATTGGACGTTTCCATAAAAACGGTGTGGCCAGTCTAAACCAAAGACGATTAACTTGAATGCAGTGATACAAATTTTGTGAACCATTTGACAGGAAGTCGAAAACAACGACCAAACAATCGTCGTCAAGTGTTGACATCTCTCTAACACCCACCGATGTGAAAATGGTAAAGAGATCGACACGTGATTTAATGTATGTGCGTACGCATTGTATGTTGACAAAATTCGTGCGTACTTATCACGTGCATTGTTATTGGTGAGCCGAGTCTAATACAGTGGCACCGTATATTATATTGCATAACGATATTAAATGCATAGTGCTTACGAACCATCATTGTGTTCCTTGTATTTACCATTTTAGTAAATACGCACGCAACGTGTTAAAATACCGCCGTATGCACACGATAAAAATTTGAACTCGGAAGCATTGGCGCAAGTTGACGGGTTAAAAACGTAGCGCCAACTCAGAGCGTTAATTTTGGATAAATCGCTGGACACAACCGTTATCATTGATGGTATTATTATTCCGATCGAATTTTAGGTTTAAGTTCAAGCATCCAGATTTTTTTTAAATAATAAACAATTTTTTGAGGCAATTAATTTATACTAATTGATATTAATTTATCTGTTTACTTAATTTATTTTGTGGTATTGTTAATAACCTGCATTAAATCATTTTTATTAAATAATTTTAAGCAGTAATTTTTATAGACGTCTGTTTAATAATAACTTTAATAAAATTTAATTAAGAATAAATTTAAATTTTTTTGATGTTTCCATTAATTTTTGATCGTATATAAAAAATATACAGTGTATTGAAAAAAAGTTTAAAGACTTTTAAATTAAAAAAGTTATTATAATCTATTTTTCTTATTTTATAGTTCTTTTTAAATAAAAAAAAAATTTTTTTTTTTTTTAATAATTATAATAAACTTATTTACAGTATGTAACAAAACTTTTTTGGAATTTTTTAAAATGCATATTTTTGTTTATAAATTAATAAAAATTATTCAAATTATTTAAACTTTATAATATATTTTTAAAGCATAAATATAAAAAAATATAAAAAAAAAAATATTAAAATTATTATGTAATTTATTTATTAATTTTATTTTATTTTATTTTTTTTTAACCCGCAATCATGCCACAATTTATTGAGATATTGAGAAATACCAACTTACATCTTGTA